AAGTATTTATAACAGTCATATGGTATTGGATGTACGAGACTGTTATAAACAGACCTTGTATATTCAATATCATATGACTGTTATAAACAGACATTCTACATTCAGTACCATATGACTGTTATAAACAGATTTTGTACATCCAATACCATATGACTTATAAACAGACCTTGTACACTCAATACCATATGACTGGTATAAACAGACCTTGTACATTCAATACAATATGACAGTTATAAAACAGACCTTGTACATTCAATACAATATGACTGTTATAAACAGACCTTGTATATTCAACACCATATGACTGTTATAAACAGACATTCTCCATTTAATGCCATATGACTGTTAGAAACAGATCTTGTACATTCAATACCATATGACTGTTATAAACAGACCTTGTACATCCAATAACAAGTAACTGTTATAAGCGCCTTGTGCATTCAATACCATGTGACTGTGATAAACAGACCTAGTACATTCAATACCATGTGACTGTTATAAACAGACCTTGTACATTTAATACAATATGCCTGTAATAAACACCTTATACATTCAATACCATATGACTGTTATAAACAGACCTTGTATATTCAATACCATATGACTGTTTTAAACAGACATTGTTTATTCAATACCATATGACTGTTATAAACATACCTTGTATATTCAATACCATGTAACTGTTATAAACACCTTGTACATCCAATACCATGTGACTGTTGTAAACACCATGTACATTCAATACCATTTGATTTTCATAAACACCTCGTACATTCAATACCATGTGACTATTATAAACACCTAGTACATCCAATACCACATGACTGTTATAAACATCTAGTATATCCAATACCATATGCCTGTTATAAACACCTTATACATTTAATACCATGTTATTGTTATAAACACGTTGTACATCAAATACCATGTGACTGTTATAAATACCTTGTACATTCAATACCATATGACTGTTAGAAACAGACCTTGTACACTAAATACCATATGACTGTTATAAACAGACCTTGTACATTCAATACAATATGACTGTTATAAACAGACCTTGTACATTCAATACCATATGTCTGTTATAAACACACCTTGTACATTCAATGCAATATGACTGTTTTAAACAGAACTTGTACATTCAATACCATATGACTGTTATAAACAGACTTCGTACATTCAATACAATATGACTGTTATAAACATACCTTGTACATTCAATACCATATGAGTGTTATAAACACACCTTGTACATTCAATACCATGTGACTGTTGTAAACACCTTGTACTTCCAATACCATGTGAGTGTTGTAAACACCTTGTACACCCAATACTATGTGACTGTTTTAAAGAGACTTTGTATATCCAATACCATGTGACTCTTATTAATACCTAGTACATTCAATACCATGTGACTATTATAAACACCTAGTTATCCAATACCATATGACTGTTATAAACGCCTTGTACATCCAATACCATATGACTGTTATAAACACCTTGTACATCCAATACCATATGACTGTTGTAAACACCTTGTACTTCCAATACCATGTGACTGTTGTAAACACCTTGTACATCCAATACTATGTGACTGTTGTAAACAGACTTTGTATATCTAATACCATGTGACTCTTATAAACACCATGTACATTCAATACCATTTGACTGTCATAAACACCTAGTACATTCAATACCATGTGACTATTATAAACACCTAGTTCATCCAATACCATATGACTGTTATAAATGCCTTGTACATCCAATACCATATAACTGTTATAAACACCTTGTACATCCAATACCATATGACTGTTATAAACACCTTGCACATTGAATTTCATGTGAGTGTTATAAGTACCTTGTACATTCAATACCATATGACTGTTATAAACAGACCTTGTACACTAAATACCATATGACTGTTATGAACAGACCTTGTACATTCAATACAATATGACTGTTATAAACAGACCTTGTACATTCAAAACCATATGACTGTTAAAAAACACACCTTGTACATTCAATGCAATATGACTGTTATAAACAGACCATGTACATCCAATACCATATGACTGTTATAAACAGACCTTGTACACTCAATACCATATGACTGGTATAAACAGACCTTGTACATTCAATACAATATGACAGTTATAAAACAGACCTTGTACATTCAATACAATATGACTGTTATAAACAGACCTTGTATATTCAACACTATATGACTGTTATAAACAGACATTCTCCATTTAATGCCATATGACTGTTATAAACAGATCTTGTACATTCAATACCATATGACTGTTATAAACAGACCTTGTACATCCAATAACAAGTAACTGTTATAAACACCTTGTACATCCAATACCATGTGACTGTTGTAAACACCTTGTACATGCAATACCATGTGACTCTTAGAAACACCATGTACATTCAATACCCTTTGACTGTCATTAACACCTAGTACATCCAATACCATATGACTGTTATAAACACCTTGTACATCCAATACCACATTACTTTTATAAACACCTTGTACATTGCATTCCATGTGAGTGTTATAAATACCTTGTATTTTCAATACCATATGACTGTTATAAACAGACCTAGTACATTCAATACCATGTGACTGTTATAAACAGACCTTGTACATTCAATACAATATGCCTGTAATAAACACATTATACATTCAATACCGTGTGATTGTTATAAACACTTTGTACATCAAATAACATGTGACTGTTATAAACACCTCGTACATCCAATACCATATGACTGTTATAAACACTTTGTACATCCAATACCGCGTGAGTGTTATAAATACCTTGTACATTCAATACCATATGACTTTTATAAACAGACCTTGTACACTCAATACCATATGACTGTTATAAAGAGACCTCGTACATTCAATACAATATGACTGTTATGAACTGACTTTGTACATTCAGTACAATATGACTGTTATAAACAGACCTTGTATATTCAATACCATATGACTGTTATAAACAGACCTTGTATATTCAATACCATATGACTGTTATAAACATACTTTG